GTTCCGTTCAGAAGCTATGGCCAAGGTTAATTTTTCTTAAGTAGGTCAAACTCCAAGGTCAAGGTCAAAGGGTCAAAGTTCTTGTTAGCAATGAAAGGTCTTGTCACAAGGATTAAATATGTTTAGTATGAAAGCACTAGCCTAACCCTTTAAAAGTTATGGTCAAGGTATCCCTTACTGTTCAAACGTAATGGCCAAGGTTAAAGTTTTTTTACAGGAACGAAAATCTACAAGGTGAAGGTCAAAGGGTCATGGTTGTTGGTATCCAATGAAAGATCTTTCAACAAAAAATATATATGTGAAGTATAAATGTCATGGTGTCTACTGTTCAAAAGATATGGCCAAAGTAAAAGTTTTAAATTTTCATGTGAAAGTGGGTCAAACTCCAAGGTCAAGGTCAAAAGATCAAATTTGGTGGTACCCAAAGAAAGGTCTTGTCACAAGAAATACACATGTGAAATATTTTTGTCATGAATCCACTAAATCAATAGTTATATGCAATGTTAAAGTTTTTGCGGAGAAACAGCTAAACAGACAGACAGACAGACGGGCGGACACGACAAAAACTATATACCCCCGAAACTTCGTTTACGGGGGCATAAAAAACGTAAACAAGTGGTAAAAAAAATCTGCGTTGACGTTGACCGTCGATCTGCAACGTCACGTCTTTATGACGTTATTTCTCTGTTTTAGTGCAAATGCCATTAGCACCCTTTTCTCATGGGCGCAATCATATGTGAAGTATGAAAGCTGTAGTCCTTAGCGATCAAGAGTTATGGCCAAGGTTAAAATTTTTGCATAAGAACGGAAATCTCCAAGGTCAAGGTCAAATGGTCAAGGTAATAAGTATCCCATCAAAGTTCTTGCCACAAAGAATACCTATATGTGAAGTATGGACGCCCTAGCCCTAGCCATTCAAAAGTTATGGCCAATGTTAAAAATTTTAAAAAGTAGGTCAAACTTCAAGGTCAAGGTCAAAGGGTCAAAGTTCTTGATATCAAATGGAAGGTCTTTTCACAAGGATTAAATATATATAGTATGAAAGCAATAGCCGTAACCCTTTAAAAGTTATGGTCAAGGTTTTTTTTTTTAAAGTTAGTCAAACTCAAAGGTCAAGTTGAAAGGGTCAAAGTCCTTGGTATCCTTTCAAGGGTCCTTTCACAATGATTACATATGTGAAGTATGAAAGCACTAGCTCTTACCGTTCAAAAGTTATGGCCAAGGTTAAAGTTTGTTCATTAGTACCGAAATCTCCAAGGTCAAGGTCAAAGGTCAAAATTGTTGGCATCCAATGAAATGCCTTTTCACAAAAAATATACATATTAAAAGTATAAAAGTCAATGTATCTACTGTTTAAAAAATATGGCAAAAGTAAAAGTTTGGAATTTTTGTGCAAAAGTGGGTCAAACTCCAAGGTTAAGGTCAAAAGATCAAATTTGTTGGTACCAAAAGAAAGGTCTTGTCACAAGGAACACACATATGAAATATGAAAGTCATAGCTCCACTAAATCAAAAGTTATGGGCAAGGTTAAGGTTTTTGCGGACAAACAGACAAACAGACAGACAGCTAAACAGACATACAGACAGACAGACGGACGTACACGACAAAAACTATACCCCTGAAGTATGAAAGCACTAACCCTTACTGTTCAAAAGTTATGGCCAAGGTTAAAGTTTTTTTCATAAATAGGGAAATCTCCAAGATCAAGTTCAAAAGGTCAAAATTGTTGGTATCCAATGTAAGATATTGCAACAAAGAATACATATGTGAAGTTTGAATTCCTAGTATCTACCGTTCAAAAGTTATGGCAAAAGTGAAAGCTTGAAATTTTTATGTAAAAGTGAGTCAAACTCCAAGGACGAGGTCAAAAGGTCAAATTTGGTGGTACCAAAAGAAAGGTCTTGTCACAAGAAATACACGTGTGAAATATGAAAGTCATAGCACCACTAAATAAAAAGTTATGGGCAAGGTTAAAGTTTTTGCGGACAAACAGACAAACAGAAAGAGACAGAGAGACAGACAGACAGCTAGGCAGACGGACGGACACGACAAAAGCTATATGCCCCCAAAACTTCGTTTACGGGGGCATAAAAACAAAATGTGTTTGTGAAACACAGATGCTCCCGTAGGGCAACATAGCGATTGAAACTTTTCTTAAATGCAAACAAGATGTATTTGTGAAACACTGATGTCCCCGTATGGCAACATAGCGAAGATTAACTTTTCTTAAGTGCACACTCACTGGAAATACTGAAATATGAAAGTAGGCCAAGGTTAAATTTTTTTTATAAGTATGGAAATCTTCAAGGTCAAAAGATCAAAGTAATTGGTATCCAATGAAAGGTCTTGCCACAAAAAATACATATATGAATATGGGAGCCCTAGCCCTAACCCTTCAAAATTTATGGCCAAGGTTAAAAATTTTAAAAAGTAGGTCAAACTCTAAGGTCAATTGAAAGGTCTTGTCAAAAGGGGTAAATATATAAAGTATCAAAGCACTAGCTAGCCCCAACCTTTTAAAAGTTATGGTCAAGGTTTGCTTTTTAAATGTAGGTCAAACTCAAAGGTCAAGGTCAAAGTTCTTGATATCCAATGAAGGGTCTTCTCACAAGGATTACATATGTGAAGTATGAAAGCCCCATTCCTTTCCGTTTAAAAGTTATTGCCAAGGTTAAAGTTTTTCATAAGTACGGAAATCTCAGGGACAAAAGGTCAAGGCTGTTGGTATCCAATGAATGGATTTGCAACAAAGAATACGTATGTGAAGTATAAATGTCCTGTTGTCTACTGTTCAAAAGATATGGCCAACGTAAAAGTTTGGAATTTTTGTGTAAAAGTGGGTGAAACTCCAAGGTCAAGGTTAAATTTGGTGGTACTCAAAGAAATGTCTTATCACAAGGAATATGAAATATAAAAGTCATGGCTCCACTAAATCAAAAGTTATGGTCAAGGTTTATGTTTTTGTGGACAAACAGACAAACAGACAAGACAGAGAGACAGATGGACAGCTAGACAGACGGACGGACGGACGGACACGACAAAAACTTTACATCCCCGAAACTTTGTTTACGGGGGCATAATTAAATATGTTGGTACCCAAAGTAAGGTCTTCTCACATGAAATACAACTGTGAAATGTGAAAGCCGTAGTACCACTGTTCAAAAGTTATAGCCATGAATAGGTTTTTGAAAGGTAGGTTAAAGTCCAGGGTTTGCTAGCCCTAACCCTTCAAAAGTTATGGTCAATGATTGTTTTTTAACAGTCTGTCCGACTGTCTTTCTGTCTGTCTAGCCGTTTGTCTGTTTGTCTGCAAAAACATTAACCTTGACCATAACTTTTGATTTAGTGGAGCTATGGCTTTCATATTTCACATGTATATTCTTTGAGACAAGACCTTTCTTTGGGTTCCACCAGATTTGGTCCTTTGACCTTAAACTTAGTGGAGCCATGACTTTTATATTTCACAAGTGTATTCCTTGTGACAAGACCTTTCTTTGAGTACCACCAAATTTAACCTTGACCTTGGAGTTTGACCCACTTTTACACAAAAATTCCAAACTTTTACGTTGGCCATATCTTTTGAACAGTAGACAACAGGACATTCATCCTTCACGTATGTATTCTTTGTTGCAAGATCTTACATTGGATACCAACAACTTTGACCTTTCGACCTTGGAGATTTCAGTACTTATGAAAAAACTTTAACCTTGACCATAACTTTTGAGCGGTAAGGACTAGGGCTTTCATACTTCACATATGTAATCTTTTGACATTTCATCTTTCTTAAGAAACCAACAACTTTGACCCTTTGACCTTAGAGTTTGACCTACCTTTCAAAAACTTATCATTGACTATAACTTCTGAACAGATGGTGCTAGAGCTTTCATATTTCACAATTGTATTTCTTGTACGTGAGAAAGTTTAATCTTCGCAATGTTGGCATCAGTGTCTCACAAACACATATTGTTTATTGATTACAAATTAAAGAAATTGTTTGCCTGGGGCATTGGTTATCTATCTAGCGAAATAAGGAGTTAATCCCAAGACGTCGAGTGTTCGAATCCCACTGTGGGATGTGTAGACCGGTCCCCTCGATGATACCGTATAAACCGACCTCAATCAATAGAGGTATAACTCTTCCTTGGGCCATAGGAAGTTGTGGTGTAAAATTTCATTGCAAGCTAAAAAGGCTTCTTCAGATATCGCGCGGGAACAAATGTGTGTATAGAAACAGAATTTTTTAATTTATGACCGTGACTTTTGCCCTTTTGACCTCAAATCAATAGGTTCTTCCTTAGGCCATGGGAAGTTGTGTAAACACTGCAAAAGCTTTACTGAAGGCTTTTCGAGATATCGCGTGAAAATGAAAGTGTTCCAGACAGACAGATCTACAGAGAGACGTACAAACAGCAGAGCTAGACGCGGACAGACGGACCAAAATAAATATTCCCCATTTTCAGCGGGGGACAAATATTGATACCATAATATGGTGGGCCGAGGACTTGGGATGGATTTATATGTCATCCTTTTCACATAAAACAGCTAAAAGAAAGCAGCTTGACCCATAAATTAATTTTTTTTAGTTTAATCTGTTTCAAAATGAAAAATTATTTTTGGTATACATGTGCCAGGAGACCGCAGTCGCAGGCATCTGTAAGTGGAGTTGCAGTTTAGAAACCCTTGGCTAAGTCTAGCGAAGATGCTGGCAATATGTACGACACAGTCACACATGGCATGTTCATGATGTTAGAAAACATTTTTGGTGTCAAAATCTTTCGTTCTTTTGTGGATTTCTTTGTAACACCCCCCCTTTTCAAAGATTTTTTGTTTTTATTTTATCTTTTTTGTTCGATAAGATAATTTGTTTAATTATAGCCTACCTTCTCCAATGTTGAAATGTGTTCCCAAAGATACCTAGCTTGGATTTATTTTTCATATCCGGAAATACTGATATTTATCGTGGTTGTTCTTGATCTTACTCTCTACTTTCATTTTCACACTGACATGGAAGGAAAGTGCAAAAATGTTTATCTACAAATTAGGAGACGAGAGTATGGAGTGAAAAGGAGACCAAGATCTAAATTTGAGATATTGAAAACTCTTGTGTTAGACGTTAGTTAATTTTTTTAATGAATAATGAATATTTAGAAAGTATTAATCAGATAATTTGCTTCTGAGGTAATTTTTGTTACGGATTAGATTCCTAGGCTACATGATAACATGTGCTTGACAGTCATAAACACGGTTAAGCTCAAATTCAGATTAAGTTTACTCAGTGAGATTCATTGATACTAAAAACTTTGTATTAACGTTCCTTCTGGAAGATACTTCACGTCTTCAGTGCAAAATGTTGTTAAGACGAATCTCGCAGAGATTATAACGTTAAGGAATATCAAGCTAGTTTTTAATAGATCTTTTAGACATTCCTTTTTGATGGATCTACAAGATTATTCCTTTCAAACTATGGTTTCAGTATTGAAAAGTCAACGTTTGCCTCGATTATTATTTTATTTGACTTTTAAAAATTCAGAGAAAGCATAAAAATTGTTTTATTTCAAAATAAAATGCTTTAGCGTTTAAATTTGGCTGTTAGGCCAAAAAAAAGTCTCGTTTCCGGCTACCTGACCTACCCTATTTTTTTTGCACCCGACCCTTAAGTTTTTTTTTTAGTTTTGGGGGAAAAAATGGAAATTGCAGGAATTTTTATGTTCCAAAAGTGAAAAAATATATAGATATATTCAAATTGTATTTCCTGAAATATATGTTTTAAATATGGACTTTCATAAAATTCCACTTGAGTTGTGCATCAAAAACATGGAATTTCATTTTAAATGATAATATTGACCTAGCTATGACATGATTAATTTGGTTTTGTAGTAGTTAAATTCATATCCCAAAAATACCATTGGGAAAAATAAAATAAAAAATAAAATAATTTTCCTACCTACCTACCCTATTTTTTTTCAGGATGGTAGCAGGAAACAAGATTATTTATATATTTTTTTTCCCTTAATGATTGTATATATGATATGAATATCTAATAAAACATATCAAGAAAAGACAAAAAGATATTTTAATGTATTTATTAGAAAAAATATTTACGGAAATAAAAGACATTATAATTGTGGGTATTTGGATAAAATCTGAAGGAAACAAGTCACAAGTAGGGAGAATAATTTAAAAGAAATTGACATGAAATTAAGAAATGTTGGGGAAATAAATTATTGTAAAATTTGGACTACATTTAGCTATATAGCTTGAATACATTGTATTTCCATTACGGAACTCTTCAGAATTAGAGGCGCGTTTAGTCGTCTGACTGGGACAGCATGACGTTGCGGGTAATACAAAACATGCAAATCTCATTCCAATTTTCAAAGTTTAATGTATTTGTCATTCCGATCAAAGAATAGATAAACTAATAGACATATTTAAGAGAGCGAGAACCCTTAATTCATCACCCATTAGTAAAAATAGGATATTTCTGAGGCATGTGCATTGTATTAAGATGATAAACAGATACATATGATAAACAATAGATACGAATTGACATCCTTGTCATTTCTACTCTTGATGCATATAAAGTCCACAACAATAAACTGATTCATTTGATTTTTGTTAGGATTTGTTCACCGACATCCAACATATTGTTTATATGTTTATGTTACGTTTGCCCCAGAAATCCCGTGAGATTTGTACATTTTGCGACTATTTTACAAAAGAGCGCACTAAGAACACTAACTCTTCCTCAGTGGAAATAGGACGTAATTTCAAGACAGAAAATAATGTATTAACTATTTTATTGAAATTTTTCAAGTTTGTTTTTAATTTAAATTGCACTTGACTTATTAGCTACATAGAGTGCAACAGAAGGATGCCATAGCATACAAATCAAATCAATTGTACTCTTCATTTTATTTAATAGGAAAATTATGTGTACAAAGAAGTTTGGACAAAATATTCCAGCAAACACATAAAGACTGAAGGGTAAACTGCTTCTTTCAATCAATATTCGCCAGACTGCTCGAAGCTTGAGATAGAAATTCAAGAAGTTTTGGTGTCTTTTGTGACTTTTGATCTGTTTTCTCATAACACTTCAGAAATCATTTCATGATTTCTTTTTTAATTTTTTTTTCAGAGGAAGAATTTACTTTGAGAATTACACAAAATGTTATGGTGGGTAAGTATGGGAGTACATAAAGAGCGATACACTGTATTTGATCATTTATACTGGTATACTGTAAAATCACTTATTTTCGAGGGGTTAATTTTTTTGTGGTTTGATGAAATAATATGGGTTCGTGGGGAATAATACGTGGATGAAGAACTGTTTAGTAGTTTTGTATGTGACAATTTACATTTCATGGTGGACATAAATTCCCGGGTCTCTTCATATACCAAAAAAACAACGAAAATTAACCTCCCATTAAAATTAGTGATTTCACAGTATGTGTCACAAGATGGACATCATGTGCCAGTTTGGTACCTGTGTCCATTAACAGACAAAGTGAAAAAGTTTTTCCTAAACAAGAGGCACATGTAGTTCATTAAATTGTGTAACTTATTCTGTTCATTATAATCATCATAATCATACATATACATATATACATGTACTTTGAATTTCATCCAAACAATGACAGAAATTATAAAATGGATTTTATTATATTTTTTATATTAGCTACTTTTTACTGTACATAACTAGCAAACAAAACTCACAAAATTCAATCCCCACAAACAAGTAAATTTGGGTTGCTCAATAACAATGTCCCCAACAAAACAATTCCAGAATACAGAGTACAAATCTTTTCACATGCAGTTGCGATGCATGATTCAGTAAATACAAGCAATCATTTTCTTTACATCATTCCTGACTGTTGTAAGAACTGTGAACAATAGTATTGTTCTCCAGCCTACCTCCAAGTCAATTTTCAAAAGTTAACAAATTTGATGAGTTTAAAATATTTTTTATAGATTTGGATATGGATTTTCATAAAACATTACTTGTTTGGTAAAACAAAAAGAGATAACTCTGAAATTTTGGTAAAACTTGTGTATTTTTCACTATAGAAATCAACGGGAAACCGAAAATAATCTTCCCCCCCCCCCCCCCCCCCCCGGTGTCAAAAAAATCCTTTTTACAGGTAATATGGACTGTTATTTCACATATTTATACCAAAGCTTTTTGTGTGTCACGGGGGGGGGGGGGGGGGGATTTCAAAGCAATTTACAACTGAAACATTATATTTTATTAATATATTTATGTTTTACTTATTTGCCTAAAACATAAGATAAGATATAAGGAACATTTATTCACACCCAAGACTATTTCAAAATATGGTAATGCTTGAAAGTCGTATTTCAATGGAAAATATCGCATATCCCCCCTTTTTTCAAGAGCTGGAGTTAGGGATAATTTAGTATGTAGCGCTGGTATCAAGACAATTCATTACTTTCTATTGCACTATTCTTTATATTAAACAATGAATTTATGACCAAATTGCCATTGATATTGAATTAAATGGTTGCAAAATGTAGGCGGGAATCGAGACTTAGCGTGTGTATTTCTTTGTCTTTTGTTTGTTTAGGTATGGGAGGGATAATAGACCAGTACATCTGCACTCTCTGTCTACCCCAGGGGATCAGAAGATTGAGACAGCATTAGTAGCCTCCATTCAGCCAGTAAGAAAATTGTTTAAACTGTAACATTATCATGCCAGACTTGGACGATTTTTACTGGTATCTTGGTAGGGGTATATGTTAAACTAGCTGGTTTTGGAACTGGATTGTTCCATTCCAAACTTTAAAAGGAATTGGTAGGCTGAGTTTTTGGAGAGAGGGTATTTTTCATGCTGTTTCCTTATGGATATGGTGGAAATTGAACATGAATCTCCAAATTATGTTTAATTTCATAATCCTGAAATAAAGGAAAAATTTCAAAAAATACTAATTGGTTTCACTGAACTGATTTTCTTTTTAAAGCTTGGATGTTTACCAAAGTCAGTTCAGTTTTGAAAGTCAAATGTTATACACTGTACAGATATTCTTGTTTAAAAAGGTGTTTTATTCATTGCTGTTGGTTAAGGTTATACTGTAATGATTATCTCAGTGGTAGTTATTTCATTTTCTAATCATCATACAATCAGCTGAAATTTATGCAATGTACATGTATATCCATTGGATGAGATAATTTCTATACCTCACTGTTATGAAATTTTAGGAGAAGTTATCCTTGCCACATAAAGGAGAACGACCATCTTTGTTCTGCCTTGTGGGTAAATGCTGGTTGATGCGCTTTGACCTAATCAGTGGACAGCTATTGGAGGAAGTGTACTTGCTGCCTAGGACACAGTGTCATTTTAGGTAATCTGGATGGACCTGTGCAGAAGCATTCTTTGATGTGTTTAAGTCAAATAATATCAGGTTTAAACAGTTGCTATGAAGGCTACTAATTATTTAAAAGGTAATTTTGAAATGAAGCATGTTAATGTATTATGGCCATCTAAGAGACTACATCATGCAGTAATCAGCTGTTTTTTGTTTTCATCCATCACAATGATGGGTCTCCCCCCCCCCCCCCCCCATCAATGAGTCAATACATGTATCAGTTAAACTTGCCACAGAGCATCTAGTGTAATAAGTAGTATTCCTTTATATTTGCATAAACCATTGCCATTTGGACCTATTAGGAATGTATTATTGTCACTCAGGTGACCATTAAGACCCATGGGACTATTATTCAAGTTGCTTATTTTAAATTGACAGATGGATTGATCTATACAGTTTCTCTGAGTGTTCTTTAAAAAAAAGATCCTCAAGAATGTTAAGACTATAACTCAACCTTAGCAGGACTGGCATATTCTTTTAAGAATTTTCCAGTTTCTTAAAATGTGGGCAATATTTTATTGAAGCAATATTTCTTTCAGTGATCTAAGTTGGAATGAGCCCGGGGCTTCTATTGTTTTAAGGTCCACTCACAAAGTTTCTGGCTGCATAAGACAGGTAGGATTCACTTTACTATTCCTCAATTAAAACAGCCTAGTCAACTGATTCTGAACCACAGACATCTTATACCTTATGACATATAAATATATGTATATGATTCATTAAGGGTATTTTTTTTTACAAGAATCAAAGGTCCAGTAAGGTATCACTATGACAAGATTGTCAATTGTTTTTGCATACTGTCTCTGCAGACTTTAAGCTTAGGTTAATCATACATTGACATTTGATGCATCTTGGGATTTTTGGGTATTATACCTTAATATAGGTCAAAATCTAATGTAAATTTAATACCTGATCATTGTCAGATTGGAGAAAATACAATATCATTTAAACTTTGTTTTTGCAAGTTTAGAAATACAGTTGAACTTTGGTTTCTCACACATCGATATCTTGAATGGATATGTCGAAGTGATTAGGTAGTCCCAATAACTTATTCTTTAAGTATTTTACCTTTAATATTTCGAATCATCAGATATCTTGAAGTTTTTACTTGGTCTCAATGAGTTTGAGATAACAAGATTTGACTGTATATTAAAAATTCCTAAAGTCAAATTAGATAGTAATATATTAGTGAGACCATGAATTTGCAAGTGGAGTTAGTGGACTGTGGATCAAGAGTTTTTACAGGTAGTATAGCAGTATAAAATAAAAGCCAGTACCCAGTAATTTTATTTTATGAGGGGTCGTCTTACAAAATTGTGTGATAGTGATTTCTTATACGTTACGGAAATAACAGTACTACCGGTAATTAAAATTGACTAAGTTGTATCCTTTATAAATTACCTGTCATGAAACTTCTTTTCTAGAGAATCTTACTGCTGATATTAATTATCATAAATTCTTATTTATTGAAATCTTTAGACGTTAAACTTTGAACATGTACATATTTATCTCCCCTCCAATTCACTATGCCTAGGTTGAAGCTGATCGTCCTAATGTTGTCAAAGTCCTGGCACTGTTTGATGTGTTTCCAGTCAAGTTCACCGGAATGTTTGAAATCACCAAGAATGTAAGTTTATACTGATGTATAATGTACTCAAGCAAAATCTTTCTCTGAGAAATATGTTGTTTTATCTAGGTCTATACTCATGTTTACTGTTGAACATTTCAGGTGTTTGGGAATGACACAGTGGACGCTATGGCATCTTGTGGTTTCTTGACCACCATGCACCGGTCTGGAATGGTCAAAATTCACAGCATGGAATACATTCTGCAGAAGGTGCATTCAATTGTTAACTCTTTTAATAGTAGAGTTCTAGTGGAACTAAAGTTTTATCAAAGACATTCTGTTACTAATTTATAAATATTTTTATCAATCATACATACATGTTATTTTGATATTCTTCTTAAATCTAGTATTTCTTGATTGTTTTGGTTAGTATAAGCTGTATGAGGCAGAACTTTACACAAAACTTCAAGACCAAGATGAGATATGTGGAAAACAGCCATGCGGTCTACCGTTAAACATTATCATCAAAGGTGACAATCCTCATTCAAAAATAGATCTACATTGCAAATTCTTTAAAAATACTGAAAACATTTGATCTTCTTATCAACTACTATTATTACATAGGATTTGGCATTCTGTTTAACCTCTCTGACAGAAAGCATCAGCCATTAAATCAAGGTCATTGCTAAATGTCTTGTGTATATACCAGGGGGAACATCTAGACAGTGATAAGGCCCCAACAGCTTCTAGTAATAATATCCAGGCACTAGAGTTTACTATCATTCAGAACAGAAATTGAAAGAAGAAATTCTATATCAGTGACCTCTGATTGACTTTTGACCTCTATGTACTTGTAGAAGAACCACCAGTACTGTTCCAGGTCAGATGTCATCAGAACAATTTGGAGGTGGGAGGATGCCCCTGGCACTACATGTACACACCCCCAAGGAAGGAGGGGTCCTTCCATGTCAAGACTCTTGTTTCTGGACAACTTGTAAGTTTCTCTAAAAAACAATCAAGTCAAGCTATAAAGTTACAAATTACCAGGTAGTTTTGATCGGTTTGAAATTGTATTGAAAGCATTTTCAGGTATTTACGCGTAAATTCTACTTTTAAACATGTACCAATTTCTTGAATAATTGACATCTTTTCAGTAGTATAATGCTAATAATTGTAGGCCAGGAATGGGGTTCTGAAGTCGGAAAAACTTGGCCTTGAGGCAGACAGAGCGCTGTTTTGTACAGATGATACTGGCAGAATTTTACATATCGACAGTAATTCTGTCAGGTAAGTGGACAGTTCTTGGTATGGCATTTGTACCTCTTTTTTCCTTTCCCAGGAAATTGAAGATAGAGTTTTTCAGTTTTCTATTCTCTCCTTTTCTTTTCACAATTTCATCTTTGAAATGATGGACCTTACTATACAAGGTAAAGTCCTGTATGCAGTTGGAATGTATATTTAAGATAGATTCATGAGGACATGAACTACGACGCTTCAAGCTGGCATATTTCATGAAGTGTGTTAGCGCTTTATGATAAATATGCCGGCGTGAAGCATTGTAGTTCATGTACCTAATGAATCTTCAAAAATTAAATTCATTTCTTATATTTACATTATTTTCTGAAAAGTTACTACAAATTATGCCATTCAACTGTCATTTTTAAAGCAAAACAGTTTGCACTATAGTTTTGAAGTCAAGTATGGTATTATGACATAACAATGGAGATATTCATGCTCATCCATGCATTCCATGGTAGTTCATGAGAAAATGAACAAAATTCTAATTTGTAAGGAATGTTAAAGACAAATAAATGGAAATGTAAATATATTTCAGTAATCTCTTGTCTTGTTTAGGGAACATGTGATAAAAAACTTATATACTGTAAATCACTTTTTATTCATGAGAACTTTATTTTCGCGTAATTACGCGAGACAGTGTGCTAGCGAAAATTTAATTCTCACGTATAATAGTATTCCTTAGGACTATATAGAGCAATAGCCGCAATTCGTGAAAATTTTGTCTCAGTTATCAAGAATAAATGCTTATCTTGCGAAAATAAAGTGTCGCGAAAATTTAGTGATCTACAGTAGCTAACACACTCATAATTTATCACAATAAGGGGCAAAGAGCTAAGTGAATTTCATTTCTCAAGGCTTTAAAAGTATATTGTGAATTTCACAGAAATAAGGAATTTAAAACTTCATAACGTAGCAAAATTATTCTTCCCTTGTACTTCATTATTAGTGCATTTTCCTTTAGTCTGGTTTAGATGGTTCTCTACTTTATAAATCAAACACAAAGAACATGAACAATGCCAAATAAATGAACATCAAGTCTTTAAAAAAAATAATTCAATGCTTTGTTTTTACAGTGTTTACAGAATAAAGGAGACAAAGTCTGCAGAATCAGTGATTGAGAAATGTTTCTCTATTAATCTAGAGGATAAGGAGAAGCCCCCTATCACCCCCACCCCCACTGATACATACACCTCCTCAGGACGCCGCGTTGTAAGGATCAGTTTCTTGTCAATGATCCCCATGGATGTGGAGCTCCCAAACTTGGTAACTGTCAATCTGATTAAAATCAGATCCTTTGATCCGCTCACATAAATCGCTACACAAGGATCTGAAGAAACCCCATTCAGGGTCATCTCCTGGTGACCTTTCTAATAAAAATATTCATGAAAATTTTGACCAATCAGAGAGGTCGTACTTAAGCGACATTTGGGAAAACGAAATTAGAACTGAAAGTAGCTGCGGAGAAGATCTTATCGTTTCGTACAAAACAAAGAGCTAGAAAACAAGACAAAAGCAAGTACTTATTATATTACTGTACAGAAAAGACTGTGGCCCTTCTCTTGACAGGCTACAGAAACTATGTCATGATTTTTCCATTCGTGTATCATCGGGCCTTTCCCCTCTGTAACTGAATCCAATTCTCCAAAGTAAACATTTGATTGGATAATTCAAAGGTCACCAGGAGATGACCCCGAATGGGGTTTCTTCAGATCCTTGTGTAGCGATCTACATGAGCGGATCAAAGGATCTGATTTTAATCAGATTGGGTAACTGTCAACTCTACATTATGATTTCTGAAGGAGAGTAAAATTTTAGGAACTGACAAGTAATAATCAGCCTTGTTAAGTAGGGTAATTATGTTAATACGTACTAGTCCTGACCATACATTAAATTAATGTCAACTAGAGATTGAATTTATTGCAAAAATTAAAGTGTTCCAATGAAAGAATTTTCAACTGCAATATTTACATTTGCTATGTTTTTCTACTAAGCCAACTGTGAAATTGATTTGAAAACCATTTTCGTGTATATTCACGCGTAGAAATATACAAGGCGAAACATTCGTTAACGTGACGTCACAATCAGGCTACAGCGACCTAAGTAAAAATGCAACGATATAGGGCAGCGAGAAATTCAAATATTGAGTATATTTTAGTTGTTTCCAAACATGTAAAATGTAAATATAAGCAATGTTTTTAAGTTTAGTGTGAATTATTGTTGTGAGAAACACACAGACTTGCACGTAGGCATATTTTTCATGAAGAGCTAGTGCTTCAT